AAATTGTCTGTGTCTTGTTTGATACTTGAAAGGCATGAAAAATCTCCCTCCACTTCCTCACCCTCTCCCAGGGGTCATTTTCCCCTCTCTTTTCTTTGCCCTGCTTGCCCTCTGACCTTGCCTAGCTCTGCTGTTTCCACGGACTTCTGAATCTAATTAATGTCTTCGTGGCTATATAAATGAATTATGTAGCCAGGAGGATGTTGGAAACTTTGAAGAAAGTGCATTCCTTAGGGAAAACCTGGTTTTGTTAAAAAAAAAATGAAATGCACATTTCCAGGTGGTGGGATACGAGTACACTGTAAAACCTCAACCATACACTCACACTCAATAAATACCTGCTGCCTGACAACACAGAAAACCTTAGAAGCATTGAATTTGACATCTGGGGCAATTCTCAGCCATTGTGGAAGGTGGATGAGAGGACAGGTTATCCATATTTGTTGCCATCCCAAATAGGTTTCAGCCACCTAAGATATTGGCTTCCCCTCCCTCTTTCCAGTCAACCTTTTGTAGGGAGCATGTCCTCAGAGGATTGCTGAGATGGCTCTGGCTGCCACTGGCCCAGAATGTTCTGCAAAGCTCCGGACAGCAGGCAAGTAAGGAGGAGGGGCCTTAGTGAAGTTCTCAGCCAGAGGATACTGTCAGGGAGCCCAAGGCAGAGATGGTCCCTATGCCCCATGTTTCCATGGAAACATAGGAGGAGTGATGACAGCCAGCACAACCGCACCATCTGCTCAGGACCTGGAGAATGAGGGGGAAAAATGAGAAAGGTACCTTGAATCCCAGGCTAGATCCACTGTGTGCTACCTGTGAAGAGTGAGGGAAAGGCCTGAGGATACTAGAGCTCCTGGGTAGATTCGAAAAGCCATGCTGTCCTGAGGGGTTGAAATATTAACATCTAGTTTGCAAGCAAAAAGCCTAGAAGGTTTATTGGCAGTTTCAAACACCCTGGAAGCCTCTGGAAAGAGAAGCTGACTGAGTGAGATATCTGCAGCCTCCCTGGAACTGGAAAGAAAGGTGTTGTGAGGAAAGATGATAGAGAAGAGGGAAGAGGGGCTGGGAGAGCTTCCAGGCAGGTCTTCCACAGAGCTAGCTCTTTTCTAGAGAATGGCAGGAGAGAGAGAGAGAGAGAGAGAGAGAGAGAGAGATTGATTCTACTGGTTCCCCAAAGCTACCTCCCATTTCCAGCCATGTCTTGAGAATTAGTTTACGGAGATGGGAGATGCTGTGGATTTGCTTTTGGGTGCACACAAGAGGCTCCCCCTTCCAGGAGAGCACAGTGAGGATGAGGTTCTTGCCAAGAGCACATGTGCAAACCCTGTCAACCAGGATCCATTTCTTCCTTCTTTCAGTTTGTGGATTTAGCACAAACCAGCCAGCCAGCTAGCCAGACCACCAGGGAGGCCAGGCAGTCAGGTTTTAGCTACCTCCCTCGGTGGCGGTGGCCGTGGCCCTCTTTTGAGCGGGTGGTTCCATTCAGTTCTCAGTAGCACTAGTTGCTTCTCCCTCAGCAGAAGAGCCCCTCAGGCCTTCTGGGTGTTATGAAGCTGCTGCTCAACTAGGAAACATCCTGCCCCCCCATCTCTCATCTGTGTCTCTATCTATCTATGTATTTATCTATCTATCTAGGCAATCTCTTGTTCCTTTACAGTCAAAAAAACAAAAACAAAACCCTAGCAAAAACAAACAACCCCCAAGCAAAACAAAAAGTCGCCAAAATCAAAACCCAAACCCAACAACAAAAACCCAACAAACCAAACCCTTTTCTAATTCTAGAGAGTACCAGCACCTCTCCTCTCTCCCTTCCCCCTTTCCTTCCCTCTGTCCTTCTCTTCCTCCTCTTCTTTTTACTAAAGTTTAAGTTTTGACTTGTCTCAGTGCTAGATTCGGTTCATACACCCAATGACTCTATAATGGGAACATTCATACAATATAAAATGTAAGTTAACAAGTTAAAATATAAAACATATAAATAATAAGTTCTTCAAATGAAGAGTCTCATTAACGCCTCTACATCTCACCAGTGAAACTTATTCATTTTCAATTTATTTCCCTCACAGCTTAGGGAAAGACTGTATCTACAACATTTTGGGTTTCTTCCAAAGCCCTCACTCTCCAAGTGGGCTCTATTCACAGAAACATCCACCAGAAATAAAATACTAATGCATCCGTCCTCGAGTTAAAGTCTCCAAATAGAAAATACGTTATTAGTGAAGAAGCATTAAAAAAAAATGCTGACAGTGAAATTTCTTCAGGCTCAAGTACACTTAAATATAAACGTGGGGACCCAGAGTTGACATTCAAATGTCCATCTGTCCATCACTTCATAGCTCTTTTGGAGAGACCTTTCACAAATGACCCTCCCTCCCCAGGCCTAAACCCTTTACTCTTTCTCCTTTTCTGGGACCCATTTATCTTCAGCCCCTAAGAGGAGGAGGCTTGAATCTGCGTCGGAGCCTCAAGCACGGCATGGGACCCGCAGTAAACACGGTTCTGTTTGTTCTTCAGCAGCCTCTTTTGTATAAACAGATGTGGTGGGAAGGGAAGGGAAGCCAGATCCCTGGGAGGGGCGGGAGGTCTCCTTTCTGGAGAAGACTCCCAGCTGCAGCCAGGAGCCCAAGGAACAGGACACATTTCTTGTTCAGGCCTTGGAACTTGCAGTTCTTCCAGGCAGGGGCTGTTCCCCCCCCTCCTCCACCCTCCACCCCCAGCCTTTGTTCCTGGGAAGGCTGGCTCCATGTGATGTCTATAGCTCACTTTTGCCAGAGCAAACATTTCCAAGAGGGTTTATGCTAAGTAGGTATCTGTAAGGCACATTTTCCCCTCCTTCTCTCCAGATACAATGTAGACCAAGATTTTGGACTCCAGCCCTTCACACCTGTACTTTGTCCATATTTCCTTTGTTCTTTTCTAGCCTTCAACTAACGGGGTGCGGTGATGTTTAAAACAGGGAAGTTGTTAGTTTGTAAAATAACCAGTCCGTTTCTACAACTGATTTGATGCAGACTCTGCCTTCACTTAGCGATTGATATTTTCACATTAGTTATGGATGCTAATAAGGGAACTATTCCAAAGCTAGGGGAAGAAAAGGATGGGGGCCCTGGCCCGGAGAGCTTTGCAGTCCTGTTCCAAGAGCACGGAACTCTAGTTGGCCTTTTGGCAGTCTACCTGCGCCCAGAACTTCGTTAGTTCTCCTTCAGAGGTGGGTGAAAAAAAAAAGGGAGGTGCTCATAGGTTGATTTTTATCAAAGGGGCTAAATTTTTGGCGGCCCCACATGGTGGCTCTTCTTGTCTAGAAAAGGAACAAAGGCCGATGCACTGCAAAGGCCTCCCCGTAGGGCATGCAGGGTTTGGTGTAAGTGCTAAGCTTTGCTCAGTGCCGCTCTCTCCAGGAATCCTGGGGAATCTTGAACAAGGCTCCAGGACCTGTGGCCAAGAGCAAGGGAGAGGGGAGCCCCCCACCCCCGCACCACCCCAGGCCCAGCATGGGATCGTCAATTTTTAGAGCAGAAGCGCAGAGATGGAAGTATAGATCTGCTCTACTTCTCCAGTCCCCACTCTCAAAGTGTGTATAATAACGGGGGAGGAGGGAGCAGTCCTTCTAACCAAGGGAGTAATAATAACAAGGGCTTTATTTTTTTACAAGCCACAGTGGTACTCTATCATCTTTCCAGCTGACAATCTGCCACTCTCCAGACAGGAGAGGAGGCGGCGGGAAGTTTGTAGTGGAAACCCAGAGGCCTTTCCAGTATGAAATAAGAAGAAAGAAGGCTAGTTTCCAGGGACCTGGCAGCTGAGGGGTAGTGGGATACCCCTTGTCCTCCCCCAGGCGAAACTGCAGCTGAGAGCAGGTCTTGGAAGAAGCTCCCTTCCTGCCTCCTCTTTATTTCACTTAAGTTACTGGCTCCAGATATTTGAAACGATTTGTTTTCGGCGCTGCCGTGGGCTGCACAGTTAACTCTCACCGCGCCTGGGGCGCCCAGGGCTTTCCCTTCCTAACACCCACCCCAGGTCTGCACGCGTGGACACCTCCCGCCGCAGTGCCCTGCGGGTTCCGCTTATTTTGCGGAGGACGAGGAAGTCCCTGCTGGACACAGGGCGAGGGCGAGAGGCAGGGGGCTGCTCTGCTGCAGGCCGGCCTCAGCTCGTCGGCACGGCATCCCCCTGCCCTCGGCGCCGCCGCCGCCGCGCCGCTCCCTCCGGCTCGCAAGACGTCCCCCGCAACCCTCGGGGCCACCGAGGGTCTGGAGAGATGGAAGGGCACGGGTGAGGAAGGCGAGCCGGGAGCCCGGCCCGAGAAAGGGCGCGGGACCCCGAGCAGCCGCACGGGGAGCGTGGGGAGCGCAGGGGCGCGCGGGGCGGGCGCGGCGCGGGGCTCAGGACGCGCGCGCGCCTCGGCCTCGCCCGCGCACACGCGCCTCCCGGAGGAGAA